CTGGAACTACAGGTGCGCACTACCACGCCCGGCTAATTTTTTTGATTTATTGTAGAGATGAGGTCTCACCAAGTTGCCAAGGCAGGTCTCCAACCCGTGGGCTCAGGCAATCCACTCACCTCAGCCTCCCAAGGCACGAGATTACAGGCTGAGCCGCTGAGCCCGGCTTAATTTACTTTTAAATAAACTATATTTTCTAATCTAAAAAAACCCAGAAAACAAAAAATAGAAAAAACAAAACAAAACAAACAACTACAAGAGAATATCTCTGAAAGGGTGAATTTTACTGTACATAAACTGCACAATAACCTTGAATGTTTTTTATACATCTTTGGAATCTGAATGTCCTTTTTAACATGTACCTCTTAGTACCTACCGCATTCAAAGGTCCAGCTTTCCTGTAATGATCCTGGCTGCCCTTTCTCTCTTTCACACTCTTCACTGCTAACCAACACCCCAAACTCACCACCAAACAAGGTTTAGAGTGCTAGGGCCCAGCTTGGGGTTTGGAAGAGAGCTGATCTAAGAATTCAGTATGTTTATCATTGGCAAGAGATCGATAAGGGAGTAAATTCTACCTTGAGGTAGCCATATCTTAACAAAGAAGCAATAAGAATTACCCTCCACAGGCAGGATTTCAAGCTGTTATAAAACAGTTATAGAAGTAATATTGTGGAGAGGAAGGAGCACTAGGCTAGGCATCAGAAGACTTATATTCTACTCCTCTCTGCCACTAACTTTCTGTAAGTCACTGTACCACACAGCGTTTCAGCCTTCACATCTGTCAAATGAAGAGATCAGACTGGATGCTTTTTTTGCAATTCCTTCAAATGAAACAGCAGACTCTGTCTTGGTCTGGACATTGTATGAAGACCCAACCTGGACATCAACCTGGACATCTCACCTTTCTCGGTCAGACTCGGCTCTCTTTTTTCCCTTCTTTTCAAACATCACTAGCACCATCAAAATGAAAAGCTGTCTTGTGAAGGAAACAATGCTGATGCTGATGAAAAGACAGATTCCCACGGAAGCCTTGGTATGACCAGATACTAGGAATGTCTGGCCTGAGGACTTCAGTATTCCTGGTTCAGGCCAGTCAGGCTGTGGGGAAAGAGCTTCAAAGGGCTTAATCAAGGAGCTGACCCCATTTTATAGAGAAGAAACTGAGGTCCAGAGAGGCAAAGGTCACAAAGCTACCTAATGACAGGCAGAATCGGAGCCCAGCGGAAAGATCCCACAGCAATACTCCCTCCCATGGAGATTTGGGATTTGGAGCCTTGGAACATTATACTCAGTCACAGTGATCCCGAGTGCCTTGCTTCTTTGTTTTCTAAGCTGCCCCACCTTCTATAACATGGTCTCCAGTAAGCAGAGACATGTGATAAGAATCAGTGTAGCCTAGGGCCTGGAGAGGGCTTTGAGGATCAAGGCTTGCCCTAAATGATGAGGCACCTTACGTTTTGCCCCCACCAAGAGCACTGCTCCCAGCTATCTGCAGAGTCTAAGGCTCTGGGTATGGGAAAGGTTTTCTAAAACACTGGCTGCTTCTCTGACATCTCTCCCCACCCCCCAGCTGACAGAGCCAAGACACACACACACCCCAACTTTCTCTGTCCTATTCCATTACTGTTTGCTGTTGCTTTGGAGTCTCATAAAAAGGGCATTGAAAGCACTTCCTGCAGCTGAAAGAAGCCCTGAGTAGCTTGTCTCATTCCCAGTGTGCAGCTCAGCAAGGGGTCCGTCCTTCTCTGTCACTGTCTCTTTTGCCTGTTGTAATTCTGTCTGCCTCTCTCGGACTCTGCCTGTCTCACTCTGTCTGTGCCTCTCCTAGCTCTTGTTCTTTCTGCCTGAAGTACGTCCCTCGTGTATTTGTCTTCACTGCTCTTTAGGTCCTTCCTTCTACTTGCAGACGGCTTAATTACTCAGGCAAGGAAACAGAGGCCAGGGGCCTCTCTCCTGGCTTCCCTCTACATATTACGGAGTCTGCCGGTTAGGAGGGCCTCGGGTCCTGCAGTCGTGGGTGGCCTAGAGCCAAAGGAGGGAGGAGCCCATCGGGGCGGGATTGGCCCTAGGGCCACCTCATAAAGCCTGGGGCGAGGGGCGCGGCGTGTTCTGAAGAGCCTTGGAGGGGCCGTTTGGTCCGACAGACCCCGTAGGCTCAGTCGGGGCTCTGCGGTGTCATGCCCGGGAGCCCCCGGACCGCGCCAAGCTGGGCGCTGTTGCTGCGGCTGCTGGCATTGCTGCGGCCCCCGGGGCTGGGCGAGGCGTGCAGCTGCGCCCCCGCGCACCCCCAGCAGCACGTCTGCCACTCGGCAGTTGGTGAGTCCGAGGTTCGGGAGGTTCACAGCACTGGGTGGTTGTCGGGGATTGGTATCTGGCTGAGCTGTAGATCGCGGTCCAGAGGAAAAGGGAGGGGCTCAAACTCCGCACCGGTTGCCTCCTGCTGAGGTTGATAGGTGGGAAAGGCGGCACCACAGCAACCTTGCAAGTGACGACTCTGACTGATTTGTAAGGAAATAAAGATGTGTCAGGGACCTCCATAGCGACTCACTCCGGCCACACGGCAGGTAGGGAGCATCACTGAACAAAGTGTAACCAGCGCTATCTGGTGAATTTTCAAAACGACTGGACTAGGGGGAGGGGGGAGGAGAGGGCTTGCACTGCAACCACCCGTGTCTGTCCAGGCCTAAAACTGAGGCTGCCACCAGGCCCCACCGCAGCACACACCTTTTGCCCCTTCTTTTCACTCTCCCTGGAGTGCCCTTCCCCCACACCCTTAAATTCCTGGCAAATTCCTTTTCATCCTTCAAGACTAACTCAGGTCTCCCCACTCCCCCCTTCCCTGATTACTCCCCGACTCCTTAGTGCTCCATAGCATTTCTAACATTGTTCTTTTCAAGTGCCCTTCACTAGAGGAAGAGTTCTGCAGGATGAGGACCTTGTCCTAATTACAAATGTGGACCCACTGCCTAGCACGAGAACAGGCAGGGAGGAGAGATGGACTACCTTAGTGCAGGGTCAGAACATCTATGAATTCAATAAACATTTGCTAATATCAACTCTAGGTGGGCTGTGAGGCCTTGAGCAATAGCAACTGTCCCCAGTTGCTGTGGCTCCTTTGTCCTCCTCTACCCTGACTCCCACTCTGTGCCCCACTGGTACCCAGGCTGTGGAAAACCAGAGCTCTCTGAAATTCAAGATTCAAAGGGCAGAAAGAGCGTAGGGGTTTTAGAACCTGAAAGGCCTATGGAGTTTAGAACCTGAGGCAACCACAAAGGAGGAGTTTCCAGGTTGCTGTTCTCACAAACAGCGTTCTGCTCACAAGCAGGGAGCACTTAAATCAAAAATTTCCCTAAAAAATTCTCCCAGGGCCTCAGATTATCCAGATCTCAGCTGCTCCTAACAGTTGCAGAGGGGTCTCTGTTTTCTCTTCCTATGTAGTGATTCGGGCCAAAATCTCCAGTGAGAAGGTAGTTCCTGCCAGTGCAGACCCTGCTGACACTCAAAAAATGCTCCGGTATGAAATCAAACAGATAAAGGTACATGGGGGCAGGACAGGGTGTTTACCCCCTCGGGCTGATGGGGGGCATGGGGTCTGTGTTCTGGAAGGGATAGGGCTCATAGGTTTCAGGCAGCCCTGATCCTTGGGTCTAGATGCTGAAATGGAATGGAATGAGATTTGGGGCAAGGCCAACAGAATCTGAGGGCAGTGCCAGACAGGGCCTCAATGTCCATTTGGTCCCACAGCTGCCCGTGCATGGGGCCACTGGAATGAACCAAGATTTAGATTTTTTTTTTTTTATTTTTAGAAAGAAATAACCCAGCAGGGTCATCTGTATACACCAAATCCTAAACTAGACTTTGCTTAAAATATTAGGCTGAGAAATGAGAAGTGTTTGCCTGATAATATACAAAGTGCACTCATTGACCCAAAACCACTGTTTTGTAATTGCCTTTCAGATGTTCAAAGGGTTTGAGAAAGTCAAGGATGTTCAGTACATCTATACACCTTTTGACTCTTCTCTCTGTGGTGTGAAACTAGAAGCCAACAGCCAGAAGCAGTATCTCTTGACTGGTAAGTTTAAGACCAGCAACTGGCCTTAACAGATTCTGTCCTAAGGGAGATAGAGAGAAAGGAACCTTCTTTGGGCAGTAGGCTGAGTAAGGTAGCATTTTCTTAGGCATACAACGAGCTTTAGTGAGAGACAGCCTCTGAGTTGGGAGAACCTTGTAAACTCCCTTTCAATGTAAGAGTCCTCATCACAGTGCTCTTGGCAATGACTTCCCTATTTTAAAGACAGGGTTGCTCTCCCAGTCTGGGGCAATTGGTTTCATTTTCAAGCAATGTAAGTTGGTATAAGATTTTTGTTATCTCGAGCCAAAATCTGCCCCTCTAAAATTGCTCCTTGTGGGTCAGTTCTACACTTTGAACAGGCCCTAGCGGGAGTCTGAGTCTAACACAATTCTGTCTCTATGATCTTGGGCCCAGATGGGTTTCCTCCATACTGAATTGGATGGGATAGGAGAGTTAAGGAATCACACAAGAATATGACTTCATGAATAATACAACACTAAATTATTTTGGAGTTCAGGGAAAGAAGGTATTTGGTGGTTGTGAACAATCAGGGAAGTTGCACTGTGTAAGTAGGATCTAAGCTGGCCCTAAAAGGTGAAAAATATTTGGAAAGAAATCAAGGAAAAGAAAAAGCACTGCCAAGTCTTGGACACGAGAGTAGAGATTCAGTAACAAGTCAAAGACCTCAAAGAGTGCATAAATCTAGACATTGGCTCTTGACGAGTCATAGGCACTGGAGGCCACAATGATAGGGGTGTCCCAGCTCTAAGAATGTGGAATTATGCTGAGCTGGAGAGCTTCTGGATGGGAGAGGCAGAAGCAGATCACACCACTGAGCACCGCAGTTCCCAGAACTAGCCAATCAGGTCTTGTTAAGCTCTGTTATCCCACCTCCTTCCTAACCACCTAACTCCCTGTCTGTCTAGTCCTCTGGTGGGCACTGAGGATCATCAGAGGAAGTAGGAGACATGCTCTCTGCCCTCAGAGAAGTCAAGTCTAACTGAGGTGAGAATAAATGACAAAACACAAGTCTACTGAAAAGTCATCAGTGGCATCCATGCCCTTCAGGAGAAGGCACAAGCTCTTTCACCTGATGTTAACAAAGTCCTTTGGGACCAGGACACTGCTGCCCTCTGTAGCTTTGTCTTCTGCCATGTATCAGTGACAGTTCCCAGCATCCCACTTCTCCCAGAGCTGAACTTCACAACAAGCAGCTGCAAAAAGTTTGCTGCCCGACTGTCTCTCTCTGCCATTGCATGGGATAGTCCCAATGATGCAAAGCCTTTCCCCCAACTTATTTGACAGGTGAACTCCTACCCATTTCTTCAAGGCCCATTATAGGCATCATCTCCTCTGAGACACCTTCCCTGCCCCACATCCCTTCCATAGCCAGAGAAAACTGTGCTTTCCTTTGTTCTTTTTTTTTTTTTTTTTTTTTTTTTTT